TTTAGCAAATAGAAAAAATGTGGCTACATTTATATAGCAGCTGGAGATGTATCTATGCCTCGAAACTGTTTTGAATGAATTTAATGTTGGTCCAGCAATAGCATGCAGCCTCTAATAACTTGGAGATGAAAATGTATTGCAGATGAAGGCATGGTGTTATGGTATTGCGTTAAAAATTTCTATATGGCATGTATTAGAAGTTGGATTTCATGACATGTATTAGAAGTTGCTTATTACACATGTGCTTGATAGTTGTAGTTGTGTTCTTCATGGATAGCCATAGCAATGTACTCTAACGTAATTGGATAATAAAACATGTTTCATGTCTTACTGTGGATGTAGGTCTTTGACCGAACCACATATATCCTTTGTGTAATTTTTTTTTTTCTTTTTTTTCTTTTTAGCAAATCTCGACACTGCTATTGGTTAATTATGTGGATATTGGTTCATAATTTTTTTGTTCATTTTGTTGATTCCACGACATGTATGAATGTTGATTTATTTTTAGCATAAAGCTATTTTTATTATGTTTTTATTCAGAATAGTTACACGACACTGCTGTTGAATCATGTCTAAAGTGGTTGAAGGGGGCCTGTCTGCAATGTGGGACAAAAATGTTACAAATACTTTAATATTTCTCCTTGTTGTTGTACTTGTATTTGTACTTTTTTTAGTTTTACTGGTACTCGTTAGGATGTGAGAACTGTATGATATCTTTTAGAATATCTCTGTCATTATCGTATATTTCTGCACTACATGTTTCTTTTCTATCAATAAGTTATTCTGAATAAGTTGCCCTAAACAATTTTATCAGAAAGGGACAGTAATGTCATTTAACCACCAATAAGCTAATCTGAATAAGCTGCCCCAAACAGCAAGCCAGATTATTCTGATAATCTGCTTATCAGCAAATTATAAATAATTCAAAGCTGCGCCAAACAGACCCTAAATGAGAGGTAAGATTTTTCATGTTTTAATATTATTTTCTCTTCCAACATTCTTCTATTTGCATATCATATGAAAGTATTGGGAAGTTACGAATCCCAAAGATTGGGATGTGATAGTTGGATAGAGTTCTAGTCAGATTGGGGCGGTACATAACATTGTGAGAGCTATAATGACATATGGAATGACTCATTATGCAAGTTTAGTAGCCCAATTAATGGGTGATGCTTATAGCAAGATGTTCACTTAAGAGTATAGGAGGGAGAAAGATACTTACAAATTTTTTCATATTAAAGATGTCTCGAATTGGATACTAAGATTAGAGAAGTCGTCAAATAATATGTAGTGTCCAAAAAATTAAAAGGAACTCATGGTAGTATTTTATGTCTGATGTTGGGGGGGTGGGGGGAGGCATTCATAAACGTTTCAATAATTTTCACTTGAGATTGAATACTACATCAGGAAATAGTATATCACCTTGATATATAGAAATACTACCATACGGTAGATCTAATTGTGAAGTGATTGTTTCATTGCTCCGTGGGGTTATGGATTAGAAGTCTTTCCCTTATCCTAAAATAATAAAGTTTATTTTAGTTATTGGGTTTGATATGCCTAATTAACTTAATTAAATATATCATAACGCAATGGTTGGCATTTTACGGATTATAACTATGGATTTAAAGATTACTAATTGGGGTTTGTAAGAGCAATGGCTCAAACTTGGAATAGTTTTTTTATAAAGCCAAAGGATAAACAATATGGAGCCCAATATACTAAAAGGCCTAGTGTTATTCATATCTTTCTTTTATTTGGGCTTTACATTTTAAGAATTTAAATTAAAATTTTGGTTTTTGTTGTATAATTTTTAAGGAGTTAACACATACATTCGACGAAACAAAGCCACCAAAAAGCTTAAAAGAGGACTTGTTTAATAAGAAAGCCAATACTAGTGCCTCATACCTTAAACTATAGTGAGCTCTACAAATAAAGGGTAGGAGGTTCCAACTTAGCCTAATAAACATGATTCAGACAGTTAGAATAAACCTGACATTGAAGCACCATATATTTATCTCTCAAGTCTCTCAACAAACCTCTTCAATTCAGTGATCTCTCCCCTCTAATCATCAAACTACTCTACCTGCTAAACTTCATTCACAATAGAGGCAACTTCAAGAGTTTACAATGGCAGGTTTCTACCTCTTGAAAAGGAGAAGTACTACTACAATACAATATCATTGATCTTCCTTCTCTGAATCTATAGTGTTCTATGTTTTGATTCAAATCACAA